GGCAAAAATGTTTCAACCCCCAGCTAATTCATAAAAGGAGGAAACTAGGAAGGAGAACCACTCCTCCTCGACAGTGGAGACAGAGACAAGGCAAGAAGGACCTCAAATTAGTGAATTGTTGGATCACAAGACTCCCTTCTCACAAGAATTGGAGATTAATAACGAATCAACGACAACCAATGAGGGTGATAGGAGTATAACAGTGGAAGAGATAAGTGGGAAAGAACAATGTGGTTCCCCTCCTCCGAAAAAACGAGGAGAGGAGAATGTGGAGGAAAATCTAGGTTCCACATCTTTCCAACAAAAGGATAACCCAAAAGGGGATAAGATAAACATTTCGACCTCCATGATGAAAGAAGGAATTGACCCAGGCAAGAGGAAGAAAATGCGCCATGCATTAGAAAAGGGACAGGTAGCAAGTATACTTTCTCCCAAAGGTAATTTGGTGATTCCAGTCCGAAAGAAAGGAGGGAAATGGGAGATTGGCCTCTCCCCGATGGGAAAAGACCAGTATGGAGGAGTAACATTAAGAGGATGGCCTACACATGTAGAATACCAAAATCCAGGTGACAGGACCTTCAAAAGGGATATGCACGACTTTCTGTCCAAACATTATGACCCAGGGCCTCAAGCGACACTCACGTTAATGGGTGATCAGGCGAAGATGGCCAAACGAGACACCTTTGTGAGATTTGAAGATAATAAGGAGTCGGGTCTTAAATGGTATTCCCATATGGCTTTGTTGAAACTACAACAACTCAAGATAAAAGCAAATGTGGTATGGTCAGTTGCTGAGGTTTCGTCCTTTCTCTGTTCTATTTTACGTGGAGGTCTGCTTACCTCCTCCTCAATATTAGATGGAGGAGGATGGGTGAGACTGTAACTTAATTTCTTTCTTTTCCTCTAATTTGAAGAAGGATGGAAGCGATACAAGCTTTTTTTGGGAAAATTCCATCCTGGCAACGAGCTACACAGACAGCAGATTTAGACCTAAGGACACTTAATGTTAATGGTCTGGCCACAGCAGACGCACTTAAAAGAAGAGCTATCATAGAACAACTAAAAGGAGTAGGGGGAAGATCATGGCCAAACTTGATTTGTATTCAAGAAACGCATCTGACAGACTCTCCTACTCATAATCGCGCACATAATCTGATCTGGCCCTACCAAAAATACCAAGCTTATGCAACGCGTAATGACTCAGCCGGGGTGGCTATATGGGTACCTCCGGACTCTAGAGTGGACATTATTCACTGGGAAGAAGATGAGGAAAGTGGTAGATGGATCTCGGGTTTGGTAATGTTGGAAATGGAAGTAGTATGTGTACTCAATGTATATGGACCAAATGATGTACAAGAACGAAAACAATTTTTTCACGATATTCGAAATCATATACCAAACAGAATCCCAATTATCATAGCAGGAGATTTTAATGCGGCACCCGATAGATGGTTGGATAGGTGGAAGATTCCTTCACCATGCCCCACTTATATAGAGGAAGATGAAATAACCATTCAACAACTATGTGAAGCTGAAAAACTGTATGATACATATCGACGGTTATTTCCACAAGAACGATTATGTACTTGCATCAGGAACTCTGGTACTCCTCATCAATCTAGATCAAGAATAGATTTGATACTCATGTCAAAAGATCTGTACCATGCGTTAGTTGGATTCAATATTTTCCCTCAAAGTCCATGGCCTGGGGCGGACCACAAAATGTGTGCCATATTATTGACATTCAGAAAGAAACCAGACCGAGGAAGAAGCTTTTACAAACTAAATTCTTCCCTTTTAAAGAGAAAAGATTTCATAACCTATATCCAAGATGTATGGAAGTATTGGCAATCCACAAAAGACAAACATGAATCCTATATATCTTGGTTTAACTGTGGATTATTTTTTTTGGCCAAGAAATGCAATGAATTCTCAAAATTAAACATGAGCAAGAAATAAAAATCCATGAAAAAATACTCCAGTATGAACAACAAGAAACTTCGGAAACTCTAAGCCGAACAGTGGAAATCCAAGAACTTAAGAACCAACTTCTCACCTTAGCCCAAAATCGGTGGCAGGGTTACCTCATTAGAAGTAAATTATCCAAACATCAGTCAGAAGGACAAATGGATGCTTCTTTTTTTTCCATAGCGAAAGCAAGAAGTAGAAGAACAAATATTGAAGTTGTGATTGATCCTAATTCGCCCCCACAGCTTGAGGTCGTTTCAACGGCCAGTAGTTTGAAAGTAGCCTATGAATTTTTCAAAAATCTATATACATCTACGGTGAATCCCACAATACCAGATCAGGAGTTACAAAATTTTCTGGAACCCCTAAGACAAAAACTAACTCAAGAACAGAAAGACAAATTGGAAGCTCCAATTGTAAAGGACGAAATTTGGACAGCTCTTTTGCAAATGGATGAGGACAAAACCCCTGGGGTAGACGGCCTCCCGAAAGAATTCTGGGAAGCAATGTGGACAACCTTTGTAGATGACCTCATGGAATACTATAATCAAGTTCAAGAATCAGGATGTATGGGGGAAATTGTTGGTCAAGGAATTCTAACGGTTTTATACCAAAAATGGGATAATGAAACGGTATTCACCAGCTCGCGGTAGCGAATGCAGATCCCAGGGCTTGATCCCTAGATCCCCATCTTACCTGTGTACAGTATCAGTGTCAACCCATAGACTTGAACCTGCGACCTGTAGGAACGCGAGTGGTAGGCAATTTGTCGTAGGTCACACGGTAGAAGGGAATCGAACTGTAGACCTATAGATTAGGAGTCTAGACAGTTCCGAAGTGGTAGCTGTAGGCTGCTTGAGGAGTCAAGGCCGTAGCGGCTACTTACCTGAAAGGGCAAAGTCGTAGCTGCTACAGTACCGAAGGGCCGACGTAGAGGTTTCTAGAACTGGCCTTTCGGAGTTGGCCTGTATTCAGCAAAGGCAAGTGGTCAAGTGGTGGTAGTCCACCTAGCCCAGTCAGCAGTCCTAGGTAGCCCAGTCCGGTCCAGTCAAGCAAGTACCGTCTGGGACCTGTCTCTTATACACAGGCCTTTCGGAGTTGGCCTGTATTCAGCAAAGGCAAGTGGTCAAGTGGTGGTAGTCCACCTAGCCCAGTCAGCAGTCCTAGGTAGCCCAGTCCGGTCCAGTCAAGCAAGTACCGTCTGGGACTGTGCACATCATGGGCCAAGGGGTAGAGGGCAGATCAACGCAGCGCAGAAGTATAAATCAAGAGGCTGCATCCAACCATTGATTCATTCAGGCGGAAGCCATGCGGTAGCGCTGCCACAGCGTCTAATGCAAGGAGGTCTGCTGGAGGCCCGAAGACGAAGGGGGGAAGAGTGAAGCATTGTAGCCATAGCGATAGGTAGCGGCAGCCATAGCTGCCATAGCTTAGTGTAGAGTGCAGAGTGTGTGTACTGTGTGTGTGTGTTGGGTATGAACA